GACAATCGACTGTATTTGGCACAAAAATTACAGACTATCTCAATATAATGTGAATACCATAAAGTCAATCGTCAATTTGCAAAATATCATTCCATCATATCAAACTGTACTGTTCCCGTTGCAAACACTAATCCATTGTCTCCCATTCCATTGTACATGCGTTTTCTTACAATTGCATTGTGTTCTTGCTCTTCCTTTCTTGATCTTCGCCATCTTCTGCTGCCGGACATTACGTTCTTTTAACGCACGTTATATACTACTTATATCAATATAAGTAGGTCACACCACAGTTTTATATTTAGGATCAGTTCGTAAATTATACTATAATATTTAACCATCTGTGAAGCACCCTTACAGTAATGAAAAACAATGTGTTAAACAAGCTAAAAGCATACAAATAGATTGAGGGAACGTCAAGGGCTGAAAGACAAAGACATCAATGTTTTCTGTTAATGGAATATCAGGAAATTTAGATTTTCATATTACAGTTTTCAATCTAACTGTAACCAATGGTTGGAGACCTTAAAAGATATTTCCCATAAAGTGATCATTTTTCCGATCCACCCTCTCTTTACCCTTTACTCTTTCCTAAATTATAAGTGTTAGTATTATTCCATATTTTTTTCTGAATTCATTCTTTCTCTTAAAGCGTCTTATTACCAACATTCACATGCTTTGCATTTTGTTAATTTTCTCTTCTATTGTATTGATATTAGCTGTGATAACTTAAACTACTGTACATTTGTCCCGTGTCCCATACTATTTATATGGCTGACTGACTGATTGATTGGGACTTTAGAGTTAGCTAAAAAACATTTAATTTGTTAGAAGTTTATACTACATAACCATTTCAAACACTGATGTTTCTCTTAACTACAATTTTATTGATACGAGAGAATTTTATGCAATAATTTTATTATGTTATTTGGTTTAAAATTAAATTATCAACACCCTATATACATGTGTATTGTTCTTTTCAATGTTTTGATTAAACACCAAAGATTCTATCTGGTACAGTAAATCCAACACTCATTGTGCATATATATATATATATATATATATATATATATATAATTGGTCGGTGAGAAATGTAGTATATGTTATGGCGGCTGATTAATATCTTGACAAAACCACTAATCAAAATCTCGATTGATATGAATTAATATCTTTGCCCCCAAATGCCCTGGTACAGCCAGGGTAGAGCGAGTTGGCTCTCCCTCTCGAAATTCTCTCACAAGGTCACGCGTATACAGCCACTGACAATGAAGTCCTACTCACCGACCTCCTGCGCCGGGGTATTGTTTACGAAGTTGAGAGGACGGAAAGGTTGGTGGATATAGATGATCCACCCAAAAGAGTTAGAAAACCGTGATTCCAAACCAATGGTGCATATGAGCTCCAGGCTACTGAGTGGAAAGTTGGCTTATGAAGCTAATGTTGGTCACTGGTTACCATAGGCCTGAATCTTTTAACGTCGCTCCATTGTTGTGGTTTCTAAGCCAAAGGCTCGAGGTGTGGCCCCCCTAAGAAAACCACCTGCTTTGGTTTTGGCACCCCGGCAGCATCTCAGCTCTCACACAAATCGAATGACGAAGTGTGGCGCATAAATATTCTGTGCCTTCTTGTACCCATGTTTATGTTTAGTTAATAAATAAATAAAGTTGACCAATTACACGTTCGACCAGCACTAGTAAGCTTGAGTCAAGTGATAAGTTTTCACTGGTTCACGATACTGTAGCTTCTCTCTCTGACCTGCCTTAGAGTCCAGAAGTCAATAATTTACCCCAACGAATCTTATATTCCAATCATACATACAAGGAGTACAAACTATATCACATCGTGAAGTAAAGAAATTCTAATTATACACGTGCAAGCCAAAAAATGATAATAGTCCATAAATTACTCCTGAAAGTTACCATTCATTTAGTCTTCAGTATAATATAACAAGTATAATCTGTTACATAATTTAAAATAATTATTTTTCTTTATGTTTTTTTTAATCTAATTAACATTATTTGTAACTTGTTTAAATACTAGTTAATGTTCTATCTTTTAACTTAAAAAAGTAATACATCACATTAACTTTCTATTAGTTTGTCAGCAACTGTTTTAAAACATACACTTTAAAAGACTAAAAATGTTCAATATCATGCTGAGCAATCTGGGTTTGTTTTTTCTTTTTCAAATGTATACCAACATTTAAATATAAAAATGTTTCATAATATATACTTATTATTTGGTTTTACTAGTGAAAAATGAACTAACATTCTTTTATGTTGATTATTGCATACATGTGATTATTTAGTTTAGTTCTATAGTTTCTGTGATTAATTTTCTCTATTTCATTTCTAGTTTTACATTGATTTTTCTTTAAAGTATACATCCAACAGAGTGTATAATTAATTTCATAATTCACGTCGGATTACTTAACTACACTGATTTCTTATAAAATGTAGTATGTGTATGTATTGGCTTAGTCAACAGTAAAATGCTAAGAGCTCATATATATATCTGTAGAACAACTTCTTGTATTTTTTTTGGTGTAGCTACAGCATAAATTTCAAAAATTTTAGGCTGTTATTCCATTTTGTTAATGGTTTTTTTGTTATTTGGAAATGATTAGCAATACGTAAGTAGACTGTGACTAATTATTGGATTCTGAACGTGTTTGTCATTTCATTTACGAAATGACAGTTGAATATGTCTATATGTTTTGCAACAAGTGATTATACTGACAAAATGTAATTATGAGTGTCAAGGGATTTGTGTAGATCGTAGAATTTCCATAGCTTTGATCACGAACTGATCTTAGCCGGACTGCCGTCAAAAATCATAGAGTAATGAACGGGTGCTTTTCCCTGGTGTATGACTTCTTAATAGTGCGCATCAACGAGTTCGTATTAGTAAACCAGACTCAGAAAATTCGATTACGCTTGCGAATGCTTAACCTCTGGGCTACTGAGCAAGTACCTAGTAATCTACATTTTTAACTTTAATTAATTCACGATATCGCTCAACCTCACAATAGTTCAATGACTTAATTAAAAGCTTTGTAATCTGTTAAAACAGTTGACGACAGATTACATTCCCGGTGAGGATAACAAAATTTCACGATGACTGTAGAAAAAGAACATACTCTGAGTTTTATTGTTGTATTTTACTTTTAAATTATAATACATTGCATACCATTGTTTTTTTTTGACTTAAAATCTTAGAAAAATTGACGTTTTTCATTTACTGTGGGTCTTAGCCACGTCGATAGATGCAAACTACCTGGTTAAGGTCAGGACAATAACCAAAGTTAATAGTTAGAGGAGTTAAATAGTAACATTGGTTAGAATCGGTCACAATGGAACAGGTGTATTCACTCTTTATTTTACTTCAAATGTTGATTTCCAATACTCTTTCATATATACCGTTTCATTTCTTGTTGTTAAACTATATTTTCAACTTTTGATCTTTCTCGTTATCATTATTGTTATATTATTCCGATTCCTTTGCTATTCACCCGATTAATATTATATCGTCTTGCTTTAATGAGTAGTATAGTAACTTAAGCCAATACATATTTGTGCCAGGTTCTACAGTGATTACGATCGACTGACTAACTACATTATTTCACATTTTTCTACTTATTCAATATTATGAGTATAAGTTATTTGGGGAAAAAATTAATAATAGTATTAGTAGTAGACTATCGTTTTGCTTCTTTTTCTCAAAATAAAACAGAATTGATTGCTTCTCATTTGGACTGGTTTTAAGACATAAAGATATTAGAAATAGAAATATGATAGATAAATATGTTTTCGAATTGTTTTCCTTCACAATCTTTCTTCTCTTTTGCATCTTTAACTTGTTTTTTTCTATCATCACCCTTTTTCCCGTAAAAGTTAGTAAAAAAACAAATATTATCACGATATAATTTATCATACTTATAAGTATTCCTAGAATATGTATACACATATTACACAAGATTCAATCCTATCAATAATCCGCATTGAGATGAACGAGTAAAAATAATTTCGGCAAAGAGGCTAGTTTAAGATAACTGACCACCGGTTCTCTTTCCTTTAATCATTGTTGAAATATGTTAATGACATCACAGATGTACAATATGCATAAAATGTATTTAATATATTGTGTTAACCTGGTATTATTCATTTGTTATTTATCATACTTCAATACTTTGTCGAAAACTTATAGCTTAGGCTTTTAACAGAGCATAACAATTACACATTTATTACAAGTTGTAAATTAAAGGCACTCAGTTGAAAATTATGAGTCTAAATGTGGCTTTAATTAACACTTATCAATTGGATGGTAGCTATAATCTTAGGCAAACTGACGCTTAACAGTCATAAATGTGGATAGCAACTGTTATCATCGTGTCGATCCCTTATTTATGATATAAATCCAAAAGGTAAGTTACTAACAGACCAATTGACCACGTTACTAAACATTGTTATACGCTGAATATGATGAGATCTGAAACCTAATTTCAAGTCTGTGAAATAAGTACAATTAGACATATACTAAAGACTAGACAACATGATACTGATTACCCTTCAATAACTGATTAATACATATAACTTTATTTTAAAAGTGATTCAAGTTCTTTTCTATATTTGATAACATGTATGTGCACTTAAAGAGTAATTGCTGTGGGGTTATATATCTCACTGATATAATGAAGTACACCGTTGAACTGATTTGACTGATAAAAAACACCATAATTTACAGTAAAATTAGACTTTGGAGTGTTTCGAATACTTGGTCTCACGTTTTTGACCTGTTGTCAACTGTACATCTATTGCACTATGATCATTCTTTCAATCTGAGATTCAGTTTAAAGTGTAACCTGATTAGTAGTAGGGCTTCAATAATTATTCTGCTTGTCTCGAATTTTCATAATCTTCAACTCTGAAGATCATTATTTATAACTAATAATCTTAACTAAAATTTACTTTAAAATGTTTATTTCGTACTTATTTTGAATATAGGATTCTTCTGAAATCTTTAAACATTTCTGGTTTGGAAGTAGATGAAGCTTTGCGATTGGTTGTTCATCGATATGGGATGCCTGTAAGTTGATTATTAGCAGAAAATTAAATTTAGCTTTTAATTTTTTTTTAATATTTCTTTAAATACCAATTAAATGTATTTTATGAGAAAAATTGTTCTAAAATAACCCTCCCAGATCATATTATTACTCTCAATTGACTAAAGAAAAAAGTATTCTTCAAATAATGTTTGAAGGAGACACCAGAATTTTTCAGTTTCGTTAACGGTCTTTTTTTTTTCTGTGTAATTTTAACTAAGGGACGGATGTAAAGATTTAAAAACCTTATAACTAATAGGATTTAATAAATATAAACCTTTTCACTGCTTCATAAAATTTCATACCAAATATTCTCGATTTATGTCTTAAATTCATTATACTTATTTCAAGACTATAAATAATTCTGTAAAACTAGACGGTGATTTGATTAGCTTTTTTGTCGACATCTAAACTTTAATTCAACTCAATTATAAAACATGACTATCATTTATTTAATTCTTCAACCAAGTTTATTTCATTCAAATTAAATGGAACCTGAAGTCTTACTAAAACGTGAAAATTTGCTTCAAGCTTAAACATTACTTTCAAAGTGTCTAGACTTTAGGTTATGATAAACTATTGATTGTGAAATCCTGCAGAAGATTTGCTACTCAATTTGTGGAAGTCAATGTAATGTAGGCAGTGATGATGTCCTGAAAGACAATCATAGTTTAACAATTAAATCATCTAACTCGAAAAATTCAACAAAACAAATTAATGATCGTATTTTCTTATGTGTAATAGTAATTTATCATCTTGAATGAGTGATAACCTTCAATTTCTCTCAGTATCTGAGATTATTTTTGTAATATCTTTAAGTCGCCATCGTTTTGATATTCCTTTAACTGACAGAGAACAGTTACTTGATATTTCCAGTTCTGATGGATTAGGATGATAATATAAAGAACTAACAGTATAGGGTTGTGGAGTTTATTAAGTTTTTGATTAAGATCATGAACCGAATGATGTTAGACCATCATTGGAAACCTGAAATCACTGGACGGCCGTTTCATCCTATTGTAGGACTCGACTCCTCAAAAATGAGCATCCGCGATCCCTCTCGCGGGATTTAGTTTCTTCCATTCATTGGCGAGTAAATTAACAACAAAAATCGTTTTCCTATATGTTTAATTGTAGAGCGCTAAATCACCAATCAAATCAGTCATTGGTTTATATCTCACCAACTTATTCAACGTCCATGTATTATTTTTTTTACAAAATCTAAATAATGACATAGATTACCCAATAAGCTTTTCATTTTCAGAATTTCTTCATTAAATAAAAATACTGTATTATATATGTAGAAAGAAAGAGTTAATCTCTTTTTTCTCTTGACCTAATTTCTAATCTATTTCATCTACTGACAAGTAATCTTCTAATTCTCTACATTAGTTTTGCTATATACCAAATGAATATTTTAAAAAAAGAGAATAATTCGTTCATCACGTTATTATTTCGAGGAAGAACTATATATAACCTGAAAAAAATTTCTACGAAAATACTTACTCATCCTACTGTCAATATGTACATAGTTGTTTTCTGTTATTATTTAGTTCTCGCTCATTTTACTGTTAACAATCAATCGTTTTTTCCCTGATTTATAACTTAGTATTGTGTATGAAAAGATTAGGTTGATGATTCATATGCCATCCAAACCCCTTCCTCAACTTTTTAATGAAAATGCAAATTTATATCTGTGTGTGTGTGTATATAGAAGCAGATATGTTGACCATGCAGTAAACTTGTTAAATTTTACGAATAAACTGTCTTGTTTCATTAAACTCATGATTGTTTACGTTTGATCCATCAGTTTTTTTGCTCATTAGTTATCATATTGTTGATGATTTTATTGTGTATGAATTGAATTTATTCAAACGGTAAACAAGAAAATGATTATTGTTAACCTTGTAATGGTTTTATCAATATCATTTCCTCTTTGTATAATAAATATGAGGTGATAAATCGCTAGCTAGTCAATCAATAGATTCGATTACAATTACGAACCGATCCAAGTTTGGTCACTATTGGAAACCTGGATGCACTGGACAGCCATTTCTCTTGAGTGTGGGTCTCCTCAGCAGTGAGCACCCACAACCTCTCACACTGGATTGGAACCCAGGGCCTTTGATTTCGCGTGCGAACGCTTAACTTCTGGACCTCTAATTAGGCATACAACGGTGCTAAGGTCTAATCTCAATCAGCTTATGACAGCGCGACCATTTTCCATTGTCTTTGGCAGGTAATTTCCTCACACCTGAAATAGATTAGTTCCACTGGTCAATGTTTGTTTGATCGTGGATGCGCACTGATGAGGAGTTTCAATGGTGGTCAAACTTAGATCGGTTCATAATTCATATGGATTTGAACAATCCACACAACTCATTGCAATAATAAATTCTAGTTCATTCAGACAGCAGTAAATAGTGTTGAAATAAAAAAACCGAGGATAGTTTGTAGTTGATTCATTTTGTTTATTGTTTTTCATGTATAACTGAGGTGAAGGTGAGCAACAGGCCAGCGGAAAATTAGGAAAAATTAAAACTGATATTTCTCACTACCTTTTAGACTTTCTTTCTCGCTAACGTTTTCTTAGCAAGAGTTTTTCCACGAGATGCAGTTACTAACCCCATGCCCAACTTTCATCCTTTATCGGGAGTTGAGAACGACACTCACTCTAGAACTTAATTACTCCTGTTACCCCTCATAGAGAAGCGTAGACTATCCACCAGAATTCTCAATCCAACTCTGTCGGGGACAATGTTTTCCAGTTGGTATTTACTCTTTACATGTCTGCTTCTAATTCTCGGCGCAATGTGTTCTTTGGCCTCCTTCTTTTACGTTCCCCTTCAGGATACCAAGTTAGCGCTTACTTCGTGATGCAGTTTGATAACTTCCTCAATATATGTCCTACCCACTTCTAAAGTCTTTTCCTAATTTCCTCCTCATCTGGGCGTTGGTTTGTTCTCTCCCACAGTAGGCTGTTGCTGATGGTATCCGGCCAACGGAAATTCAGTATCTTCTGTAGACAATTGTTTTTAAATATTTATACCTTTTTGATGATGGTGTTAATTCGCGAAGTTTCAGCTCCATACAGCGGAACTGTCTTGACGTTCATATTCGAAGATTTTGACATTGAAATCGGTTGACAGTTGTTTTGAGTTCCAAATGTTTTTCAACTGTAGGAATGTTGCCATTGCTTTACCGATCCTCACCTTTACGTCTGCATCGGATCCTCCACGTTCGTCGATGATGATGCTCAGGTACGTGAAAGATTCCATATCTCCCAGAGTTTCTCCGTCAAATGTGATTGGGTTTGTGTTATCTGTGTTGCATTTGAGGATCTTGCTTTTCCGTTATGCATGTCGAGGCCTACTGATGCAGAGGTTCCTGCTACCTTAGTTGTTTTCATCTGCATTTGTTTGTGTGTATGGGATAGAAAGGCCAGGTCATCTGCGAAGTTCACATCTAAATGATTCTGAGCTCTTCATTGTATTCCGTGCTTTCCCTCAGATGTCGAGGTCTTCATAATCCAGTCGATCATCGGAAGAAAGAGGGAGGGAGAGAGGGGGAAGCCTTGATTGACTCCAGTCCTTACTTGGAATGAGTCTGTCAGCTGTCCTCCATGCACCACTGTGTACTGTAGTTTGTTATATGAGTTTCGGATAATGTTGGCAATCTTCTCAGGAACTCCATAGTGTCGAAGAATTTTCCATAATGTTCTCCTGTCTACACTGTCAAACGCCTTCTTGTAGTCAATTAATTTGATGTATAGTGGCGAGTTCCATTCGGCTAATTGTTCGACGATGATCCGTAGTGTCACAATTTAGTCTTGCACGACTAGTCCTTGTGGAATCCGGCGTGTTGATCTCGAAGTTGGGTGTCATTCATCTGGCTCAGCTGCAAATTATTTACTATCGATTAAAGTCATGTAGGTATTGTATATGGTTCGCCTAGTAGGAGAGAAGGCCTCATTAATACCACAGAAGAAGAAATGTTGGGTTCAATAACTTGTATTCAACGATAAAAGTTTCTGTTATTCTTAAGTTTTTTTCCTATTTCTTGAACTCATAGAACTTGTATTTATTATTTACTCAATTCATTCCTGTTTAATTCGATATCCTTCTATGAATCTGTTACCGATGCACCGAGACGACATATAAGCGACATCTAGTATAAGCAATTAGCTTGCATAACGTCGAAGAGCATGTAAATTAGTTATTCTAATCCATCAATGATCATATCATTTTCAAGTAAATGTATTTTGACTGTCATTATGAAATGAAAGTCTTCGTATGACCCATGATCAGTTCAATGACACTAGACACCGATCGGAAATATGCTGGAAGATTATTCAGCCTAATGATAAAATGAAAGTAGAAATATTCGGAAGTAAACTCAAATCACGCATTAGTGCTTATTTATAATTTACTTATTTATTTATTTATATTTATAATTTACTGATATACTAAGAAAGTATGATTTTTATTGTTATATTATTCATAAACTAATAGCTACAACCAACTTCACTTGGAGCCCTTCCAGGATTACTGTCGGCTCCATGCCTGGATAAATAATGATCGTTAGACATGGGGTTAGCTACCACATCCTATAGAATAAAGCTTTTCTAAAAAAACGATAACCAGAAAAGTTACAACCAAATAATATATACATTCAAACATCACTAGTATATACTGGCCTATATTCACACGAAAGATAAATGAATAATGTCAGTAGTAATCTGTTTGGATGAATGATTCTAGTTGCTTATAATATATATAATGTAAATATGTTTACCGTGTTCAATGTAGTATTACATTTAGGTAATACTACTCATATTTGCGTCAAAATCCGTGTTTTCGGTGATATTTATGCTTGTAAATATGATAATAGAGTTTTGCGATAACCAGGTACAGTAATTGAATTATTTTTTCTGATAAGCGTTTTTTTAGTGAGTTAGCTTTCTACGGGAAATACAGTAAACCAGAGAGACCGGTCAAAGACAAAGAAGACAAGCCAATCACTGAAATTCAACAACAGCGGAACAGATGGGTAGAATACTTCGAGGAACTCCTGAATAGGCCGGCTCCAATGAATCCACCGGACATCGAAGCAGCACACACAGATCTTCCCATAGACGTCAACCCACCAACGAAGGAAAAAATCAGAATGGCCGTCAGACAAATCAAGAACAGGAAAGCAGTGGGACCCGACAACATACCAGCTGAAGCACTGAAGTCAGGCATCGAAGTAACTACAAACATGCTTTACCTTCTATTCAAAAAGATTTGGGAGGAGGAACAAGTGCCGATGGACTGGAAAGAAGGACACCGTCAAGATTCCAAAGAAAGGAGATCTGAGCAAATGTGAGAACTACAGAGGCATCACACTACTGTCAATACCAGTGAAGGTCTTCAATAGAGTGTTGCTGAACCGGATGAAAGATGCAGTAGACGCCCAACTTTGAGATCAACAAGCTGGATTCCGTAAGGATCGATCATGCACAGACCAAATTGCAACACTACGGATCATCGTCGAACAATCAGTTGAGTGGAACTCGTCACTATACATCAACTTCATTGATTATGAAAAGGCATTTGACAGTGTGGATAGGAGGACGTTATGGAAACTTCTTCGACACTACGGAATTCCCGAGAAGATTATCAATATTATCCGGAACTCATACGACGGACTACAATGCAAAGTCATGCATGGAGGACAGCTGACAGATGCATTCCAAGTAGGGAACGGAGTCAGACAAGGCTGTTTACTTTCTCCCTTCCTCTTTCTTCTGGTGGTCGACTGGATTATGAGGACCTCGACATCTGATGGAAAACACGAAATACAATGGACAGCTCAAAATCAGTTGGACGATTTGGACTTCGCAGATGACCTAGCCCTCCTATCTCATACACACGGACAGATGGAGACAAAGACAGCCAGTGTAGCAGCAGTCTCTGTATCAGTAGGCCTCAGGATACACAAAGGGAAAACCAAGGTCCTCAAATTCAAAGCGGAGAACAGCAATTCAATCACTCTTGATGGCGAAACTCTGGAAGATGTAAAGTCCTTCACATACCTAGGAAGCATCATCGATGAACAAGGAGGTTCAGATGCAGACGTAAAGACGAGGATTGGCAAAGCAAGGATCGCATTCCTACAATTGAAGAACATATGGAACTCAAAACAACTGTTAACCAATATCAAAGTGAGAATCTTCAATACGAACGTCAAGGCAGTTCTACTGTACGGAGCTGAAACTTGCAGAACTACAACAACCATCATCAAGAAGGTACAAGTATTTATAAATGGTTGTCTACGCAAGATACTCAACATCCATTGGCCGGATACCATCAGCAATAGCCTTCTGTGGGAGAGAACAAACCAGCTTCCAGCTGAAGAAGGAATTAGGAAAAGACGATGGAAATGGATAGGACATACATTACGCAAGTCGTTAAACCGCATCACGAGGCAAGCCCTAACTTGGAATCCTGAAGGGAAGCGGAAAAGAGGAAGGCCTAAGAATACATTACGTCGGATAATAGAAGCACATATGAAAAAGATTAATAACAACTGGAAGGAGCTGGAAAGGGTTGCTCAGGACAGGGTTGGATGGAGAATGCTGGTGAGCGGCCTATGCTCTTTCACGAGGAGTAACAGGCGTAAGTAAGTAAGGTACAGTAATTCTATTGACAAAACAACTTAGTTTCATTTCATGTAGATTATTACTCACTAACTCTACAACCTATTAATGTAAATATATATTATCATAATGTAACTATCGTCATTAAATTAATCTAAGTACAAGTTTCATCATGATAATGAATCGAAATTGTGAGACTTGGTATTAATAGCTATACAATTAAGTTTGTGGACAATAAGTGATATTTCTGAAAAAAATTTTAGTCTTTATTATCTATAATGTACAGTCATTTGTAATTATATTATCTTAGTAAATAATAGTTACTGAATATGTTTACTCTCATCCACATCGCCATTTCTTTTAATCTATTTTTTCTAATGTTCTTTTATTCTGGTTTTTCTTTTGATCATTTATAATTTCCAGAGTATCATGGTTTGTTTAATTATTCATTAAAACTACAATTAATTATTAAATAATTAAAACAGTATGAATTTTTTTGGAAAAAAGTTTAACTGAAATCTATATATCACATCCATAGGATGCTTTTTTATAGGTTTATTTCTTTTATTTATAAATTTAGAAGTATGAAACTACAATGTATTTAACTGTGTCAGGTGTTCGAAGATAATTGTCAGCACTTGTCAATATACCCTACCTGGAATCTTTTGGTAACACATGCTCTCAGTAAGATTCAAACCCTTGTGATACCACATAGCATCTAAACATTGTGATCACATAGCTTCATTGACAGGATTTGGTTACCATTAAAGGATTAGACATGCTTGACATTGATCCACTACACAATAATAAACCAATTATAAAGTTAATTATCTAACTGTAATTGACTCTCAAGAATTTTCTCTATTGAAAGTCATTACGTTATGATTGTGTTGACCAATTATGTATACAGTTACTGTCAAGCAAAAACGTTTGCTTTCATTCTTCATATTAAAAAGGATCTTAATCGTATATTTTAATAAATATAAAACTTTTAAAATACTGAAATCCCCACAAACCCTCGTATTGATAACAACCATGTGTTCACTAATGACTAGCTTCAAGATGTAACTGATGGGGTTCAAGCGCAAAGCCGTGATCAGTGGAGTACTATCTGTTTCATCTGTGAGACACTTACCCACCTCAGACAATGGATGATCGGTTGCGCAAAATCATGAACTGATTAAAGTTAGGCATTAACTTTATTGGATGCCGTGTCAGTGATTTAGAAGCTAAGCTTTGTCGCGCGAGACTGAGGGTCTTTGGTTCAAGTCTCTCTCCCGAGACCGTGGATACGCACCGCTGAGGAGTCATATACTGAGGTGAAACAGACGTCCAGCGCATCCAGGCTTTCAATGGTGGTCTAGCTTATATCAACTCGTGGGTTTAACTGTGAAAATATATAACTGTTGATGATGACTATTTGTCACACTTCACTTATATTGTTTTTAAAGAAACTGAAGTATTAGTTGATTGGAAATGTATTTAATGTTTGAATGCATCATATTTTGTTAGTCAAAAACCTGAAGTTTTCATTATTTTTTTTCAACTTCAAGTACTTATTGATTTATGACCTCTCTCTCTCCTTCTCTCTTTATATATTCATAATTATATTGACTGCGCTTCATGATTAGTTCAGTACATTTCCAGTTTATTAGCCGATATATTATCTAGATTTCACACACATTACTTTGGTCAGTAGTTATATCCCATTGGTTTAATCACTTATCACAATCAGATTTTGGCAACTATTTATCATTTGAAGTAAACAGTTAAATATGCAATGTAGCACCATTGTTGGCTTATTACATGAACATTCTGCTCGTTACTTTTTTAACATTTGAATACCCTAATTCGCAATCATTAAAACGTTAACTGTTCAACGCATTTTTGTCAACTATTTAGTTTTAAATTAGTCGTATTTTGTACTATTTAAGGAACTTAACCATTCTTACAATTACAATAGAAAATATTTGCAAATCTTGTTATGTAACTTCCTTGTTTGTTTTAATCCTCGCATAACTTAAATTTTCTCATAGAGAACATCAATAAAAATATGAAACCAAAATAATTAACTGTCTTCTTTTACCAATCTTGTATAGGTGGAATCTCAAGAAATAGACAGATTATTGCAATGTATCTCTGAATATTATCATACAGTTCGATGGTGTTCAAAATCTGTTAATTCATCAGATATTTTTTCCAGTACTAATGACCATCAATTGAAGTCTTTACCAGCTCCTCCTATTACTCTGGATCAGTTATCATTAATATTTTATGCTATTCTCTTACTACAAACCAGCCTTCATAATGTAAATGCAGCAAAATCAAGTTTAGGCAAACAGACTGTCAGTCAATTTATAAAAAATGTATATGGTAATTATAATTTATCTGTAAATTTATGTATCGTTGCGAAAAGCTGTCAGTTATTATTATCCTCTAACAGTCTTTCATAATTATTATTCAAATGATTTTTATGAACTTAACGTAAATCTTTTTTTCTTCTGATTTATTAGGTGAATAGTTACCTCCCATATTTCTAACCCATAAACTTTTTCCATACCCCTACTCTTCATCTTCTCGATCATTACGCAACCTTATTTTGATAATATCACATCTCGGGTCACTTTATGACGCAATCTCTTTCTATTCTCCTTTGGACTCATAAATTTACCAAACAAATCTCAATACGAACTTACAGCTTAAGTAAATGAGTTTACCGAAAAGAAAGTGTACTTACGATAGATTCTCTCTGACAAACCTCTGAGTGTACTCAGACATAAATTTACGTCAACTGAATTTGTCGTTCTACATTAGCACAACGAGATGAAGTTAAACAGATGAATCGTGGTAGACATTATAGTGAGAAATGCTCAACTTCAAGAATATGTTTTGAGAAAAAAGACTATTTTAACTCCACAGTTTCAAAATCAAGCGCTCTCCGTGAGACTTAAAGGTCCTATGTTTAAATACCAGTATTGTTTTAGACACCCATTTCTAAAACGTCCTATACCAAAACTACCCATCTGTCGAAAACTTTCTAGTTTTCATCAGATACATGATTGAGTCAATCCGTGGTGTAAAACTAAAAAAGTTGATTGATTTGAAAACATGTATATAGAAAACATAGTTATATCAGTATTTCTACACAAAATGAAATTTATTTCATTCCACTGGCTTGTCATCGGCTATTATTTTGTTTGCATCCGAAACAAATCACCTAGAAATTTATTGTAAGAATAATGGGCTTTCTAAAACGTTTTCTAACGTTTATTGTATGGAAAAATTTATAACCATCACTTTTTTTGTATGGGAAGTAATTAATTTTAGCAAGAAACGTAGAAAAATGTATTGGCAATTAAGTTTATTGTTCAAGCCTAATGTTTTCTTTTTATTATTTCCATAGATTAAGTTGTATTCAGCTAATGTATTTTTTTGTAGATCAATAACTAATCGGTATTTACTTAATAATGGACAAGCAATTATCACAATAAAATATATTGAGATTTATTTGAAGATATGGCTTCTCTTTTTTATTCTATTATTCATGATTGTAAATGGAACGAGTTACCAGGATCATTTATTTATTTATTCAACTAACTTTATTGATTGTATTCTAGAGGTTTGTTCAAAAGGAAACTTTGAGCCTAGATTTCTTAATAATTACCACTCGTCAAGTAGAGGTATCTGTCATCTGTAAGGTAACTGATGCTTCCTGTTTTATTTGAAACCACGTTACACATTTTTACTGTTTGATACGTTACCATTGAGTTATTTAGACAGTGACCGACCTCCTGTATAATCAAATTTGATTACTAAGTAATAAGCGATGTTATTTTAGTCTAGTCTTCGACCTAATGTCTATAATAGCGATAAACTTATTATGTACATCCAATTGTCATATCGTTCTATTCAAACAGAGCATGAATACTACTTAATTATTTTAACAATGCATGAAAAGAGTCTATCTAAATTTCCTAAAATGTAAATTTGATAAATATATCACCGGTCAGAACATATAACTCGGTATTGCTGAGAAATGACATTTGTAAGTTAGCTCGACTGAGGTCAGTGGCAACATTTTCATTACCCAGTAACTTTGTTGTGTCCAGGAATTTCATCCATTTTTTTGCTCTTTTTAGTGAATGAAGACTGAAAATTAGAGTATTTTTTATTCAAGATTTCAATTCAAACCCCAACAGCTGATTATATTTATATTTTTCATCCAGCACGTTAATCAAGTCTACACATTTATTGATAGCTCACAGTCACGAATGACTCAAGACGCCTAAAGTGAAATTTTTTGCGAAATTTTCATTCCAGTATACAGCAGTCACTGATTAAACAAACTATAAATAGCTAAAACGTTTGGATATAACACACCTACTGAACACTGTAAACGTTTCAGATAACGTCAGTCGTTGGTTTCATCTGCCTAGTGATAATTTAAGTGATCTGTGTTGATGGTCGGTGCACTCGAGTTGAATGGAAATGATGTGACCTCCTGGCTTATGTCGAAGTCAGACTTCGAGGTTAATACCTAGCCTGAATTACTCTTTCGTTGTAATAATTACTGTAACTACTCTGATGACTGATTAAAACAAACATAACCTTATTAAAGGAATATATTATAGGAGAAGACTAAAGAATTATATAGTAGAGCCATCATTACATTCACTAGTCTGCATTAGTCATCTGTGACCTTAAAGATATTCGGCAAGCTATTCACGCTTCCGTGATCTATTGTCTAGCGAAGGAACGATTCAGCTTGATGAATGATTTGTCTAGCGCTCAGTGATAGATCACTGGTCCTACAATAGAATTTATTCTTTTTATACTGCATTTAAGATACAATATATTAACTGTTGTAATTTACTACACTACATTAAACAGATTTTATCTTAGTTAACTGAAGGTAATCATTGAATATTGCTGTCCTACCTAAGTTTCTTGTAAGTTGGTCCTTTTCAGCATAACGTACCTGTGATCTTCAAGAACCTATCGATCAAACCCCATATTTCTTTATGTATGAAGTTGTAAAGTTTTACATATCAATATAACTTTTTTCACATGTAGTTAGATTACTTAAAAACATGCAACATAAACTTTAAATAATTCCACTAACATTCTCTCACGTCGTTAACTTTAAATTTACATCATCTAGATGCCTTGATTATCACTCATTTGTTTTTATTTCTTGTTTCTTTATTATCATCTATAGCTTCTGCCAACTCCTTGCATGATTTTATTTTCAACATATCAAAAGTAATAACCAATCTCAACTATGTAAAATATGTTATTTCTTCTTATTCCCGTTGTTACCAACTGAATTTCATTAATTACATTATGTAATACTTAGTTTACTATGGCATAATTAGTTGTAACTATGGGCCATTCACATCTGATAAAAAGCCTCAAAATATAATGAATTTATGTTGTTCGACAAACTGTATTCTCGATTTATTTATATCTTTGATTTTCCTTGTTACCTTCAAAGATCTTCTTGTTTTGTCTCTTTTTTTTGCTTTCTCTAGATCTTTTATTAAATCAACCATCTTCATCATCATCTTCACTATCTTCTTTCACGGCTAAATCAAAGTCAAAGATTTCAAATGTTAATCAAAACGATATGGTTGATGAAAGTGGTAATACTAATACTGAATCCATTCTGGACAATGAAAATAATATTAATAATAACAAATCTCTTGATATAAAACATGTATTCTCAAATCGCACATTAACTGAAATATTTCATCGTATTAAAGTTAAACCATTGGAACCAGGTTCAGATCAAACAACAATCGTTCGACATATATCTAAAGCAATAAGAAATTTGCAAGAAGTTAAAATTTTAAACACTGATGACATTGATAATGAATTCTTATTCACGAATAATCCATTTGAATTAGTGGAACCACATCGTCGATTGGTTTGTTATTGTACGGTCATTCATGTAGGTTATAATTATTTTTGGCTTTTTATTTATTATACAGTTTATTATAAAACGGTGTGCACGATAGTGAAGAACAACACATTTTGTCATTTATACAAACATACAGTACGTAAATCATTACCAGTACACTTCAGAAACATACCAAATCTGTTTACTAGAAGAAACTCATCTTCCATTTCGGAAACAATAACAAGACAGAGTGTGTACACGTGCTATAAAACTCTCTTTGAGCTTGACATGCAACAAAAGCGTCATGTATTGCTTCATCAGAGTTGACAGATTAGACAAACTGAAAGTCATGAAAACGTCAGATTATAGGACAGATTAGGAATAGTAAAAGAAGTAAGAAAATTTTAATGATTTTATATCAAGTTTGCTGTAGTAAATGCCAGAATTGCTTTTATGAAAAGCTGTATATTTTCAGTTGTTTTTAAAAAACAAAGATGTCCCATTTCAAACACAATTTGGTATCTACTTTTAGTGATACAATTTAAGAAAAATAAATTATACTTTTTATAGGTGTCATTACCAAGGTTTGATTTGATAATTTCGAATAAATTGAGCATTGGGTTGATTGTTATAAATAAAAATAATATATTTGTAATATCCCAATGAGTAGAAAATTGGATTTTTCTGACGTTTCGTGGCTTAGTGTAAGTCACTTCTTCAGAGAATAAATGACCAAATTAAAATTAATCCAAGTTTAAATAGTACAACGGAACAATGCAAGAATGATATTTGATCAATCAAAAACAGGTCTGAACAAGTTGATGTATGTCATTTCTGTCAAGGTGATTCATAAGTGATAAGTATGTAAATTTGTGTGTATGTATGTGTGCATTGTTTAAGAATAAACACTTGTGTGACCTATATGGTAAGAAAGGATAGAGTTTAAATTTGTAATATGATAGTGTGAAATTGTAAATACGATCAGACTGAATGGTTAGGATAGATGGTCCAAGTAGGATGTATGGTAAGGCTTAAGCAAATCACAACCAATTATTAAATAATAAACTGTGTATACGATAGTGACAATTTTTTCAGCAAATTAAATCCAATTGTATAGATGGCATAATCAATACATTTAATTGAAAATGATCAATCACTGCGGTATATCAAAAGTTAAACTTGGAACTGAAATTAAAACCAGTAGGTTTCTGAAATTAACGCAAAGAGAATTTTCCCTTAAACTTTGAATTAAATTATATCAGAGATCTTATCAAGTCTTATATTATTTTATCATCACTCAACTGTTGAAAGTTTTGCATATCAATGACAACATAATATTATCTTTATGTGTGCATGTAATATTAGATTGCTTTTCCATGTAATAAACAGTTTCTGGTGGAGTTTTGTTCTCTGAGCTGAATGGTTCGGTCGTGGAGCTTTCATCGTTCTTCTGAACGACATCATCAGCACAAACTTCAGATAGAAGTGAAGTGTTCGAATATAGGAACAAAAATCAAACCAATGGGAGACACAACCAAAACAAAGAAGTAAACAATGATAAATTTAATGTCAACAAGAACCAATCAACATCGAGGTGCACAGAACAAGCTGTGAAACACATATGAAGAAATTCGAACACTTCACTTCTATCTGAAGTTTGTGCTGATGATGTCGTTCAGAAGAACGATGAAATCTCCACGACCAAACCATCCAGCTCAGAGAACAAAACTCCACCAAAATCATCCACCTGAGCTACAAATCTTCTCCACCATCTCAATAAACAGTTTATTCAAAGCAAGTATTCTAACTTGATCGAATCCGAAAACCCATTAATTTAAGAATGATTTCGTCCATAAGTTGTACTAGTTTGACAAATGTACATATTCTCTCTTTTTTTCTTTTTCTTTTCATTGTTATTATTAATTTTCCATAAATATAATAAAATGTTTACTTAGCATTTATTCATCTTTCATACGATTCGGTAAATATATTACGTGGATTTTCATTAAAGAATTAATTTTCATTAAGATTAATTACGTTATCAACCATTTTCTCACATTAATTTTTCCCATTCATTTGTTTTGATTTTATTATTATTCTCATATTTTCAATTAATCTACTACGAATGAATACAAGTATATACATATTTACATACTTTTAATCATTTGCAAAATCATTATAGTGAAAATCTTCATTTATAGGTTAATGAAAAGTTAAATAGTGTAAAGAAATGCCCCCTTGAGTTAGTTATCCATTAAGATTCTACACGAGTATATATTAATATATATGTGATTAACAATAGTGGTCTAACGTTGAACGGTTCAAGATCTCGACTAAAACTTAACAATCTTCACAACCTATGTACTGAAAAATAAAATAATACTAATCGAATAGTGGGATAACAGATCGAATTATATAATTTCACAGTGTTTACAAAAATACTATCAAATGATTAATTGGATAATTGCAAGAAAATAAAGATTATCATCATCAAAGTAATTAATTGTAAAGATTGAAAAAAAAGATATAGATTAAACAATGAAAGGAATTAGGAAATGAATAATATGGAGGGATTCGTAAAAATTTCAACTATGAAAATTAGAAAACTGTTTGAATATGTTTCTTTTTGAAAGAATACGGTTAATTAGTGTGTGTCCAGCTTGAACACACTGGTATATCTATTGCCAATACAGATAGAGATGTTGTTTAAAATTCTTTTGATTGAAATTATTAGGCTTGGGAATATCTATTCTGATAGCTTCAGCAGTATGCAAAAGATAATGACTTAAAACGTACTTTAAATCTGATGGAATATGGTGAATAATTTCAAAAGCTTTATTCAAGTCAACATGATGTTCGGTACCAGCCGATTGAAAGACATCAGAACTCTTAATCCATCTTACCTGTTCTTCACATGAATGAGACGAATGGTGTTCTGCTATATGATGACGGACTTAGCGAACGATACACCTCAAGTAACTGGCTCCACAAGAACAGTTGAATCGACAGACATACATAAATGTGGCGAACTCAGTTTATTTTTATTAGGGGTTTGCATAATCGGAGAACTGTATTCGGCTTGGCTGCATTAAATGTTTTCTGAATTGCTTTTTCTAACCTCTGCGTTATTATTTCCTCGATAGAGTCATTTAGGAACTGTGATTTCAAGGACAGTAACTTGTTCGAAACAGTTGTTACCTTTGATCTTTTTTTTTATTTCATTCATAAGTTTGTTGATGAACTTAGTTGAATATGCATTCCTGCTAAAAGTTATGAATATTACTCCAAAAAACTAAAGAATCAAAATGATTTCTCACATGATAACGAGAAAGTTGTCAGTATCTTCAGTGTCAAATAATAGAAAACAGGAAAAATTGAAATATTCATAACACTTACATGATCTATAACTTTTTTCATACAACTTATTTCAAGAGCTATCTACATGGTTATCCTTCATTATAAATAAAAAGCATTCCCCCATTCTAACTCCAAATACTTACCTCAACCCTTTTTCTTTTCTATAATGAATAATTCAACATGTAAAAATTCATTAATCATTTCAAAACTTTATTTATTGAATGATAAATTGCTTTTTAACCAACCACTATTTTCTGACTGACTATTTAGTTATTCGTACTTGTCAGTATAATTCACTTCAACCATGAATACTTATCGGCATTATTAATTCTCAGAGTCTTATGCTACTTCCAAATCAATTGGTAATATTTTTATTGTATAATTTAATTCATCTTTTATCCTATCGATTTAAGATATGTAAGTTTCGTTTTTACCTTGTGTTACCATTTTTGGTTAGTTAAGCTTAACATAAATTTTTAGTTCATATTATAGGTAAATAATCACTCATTTGTCGTCATCTTCATCATAAGATGGAATATAATAGTGTTAATAGAATTCACATATTTGTTTCGAATAGCCAAATCATAGGATATCACTCTGGTAGATTACAAAAAATGTTTACATTTTAATGGTGCGCAGTTGTACAGATTTGATGAACTACAAATTATGCTTACATGGAATAACCAACATTGTATTGAATTATCAAATCAATTACAATTAATTGGAATATACCATTTATGAGATTCGTTCAACTTTTTAACCTAATCTATTTTAGAAGTATGCAAATACTGAAATGATTTTTTAGATCTTAGATTTGTTTTACTGAATTAATTATGTATATGGACTGAAAAATATGCTTGCGTGGTTTTGTGAAATGTTCACAATCCATTGCAATGTTTCAAACAATAAGATGTAGATGAAAATAACAATAAAGCTTGACGTTTTCGCTGTTGTCGTCTATTTTTAAGAAGAAACGGGAGATGAATACGTCTAGATTTATGTCTATTCTGGCTTCCTCTCAAGATATATGATTTTTAAACAATATATCTCACCTGAGTTACCACGACACGGAAGTTTGTCTATGTTTTCAAGATAACAGCTACAATCACATAGAATGTCATGTAAATTAACAAAAACGATTGATACGAGAAATATAACATTGAATTACATTACTTTTTCAGTGGTAATGTCACTGCTTGGAATCTTTTACTTACACAGACTACATACCTGATTTCCACTAAACCGCCTTTCAAGTGTGAGATAGCATTCACACCTGATCGAATTGAATTTTGTGTAACTTTCTAAATGAAATCTAATTTTTTTCTTTTGTGAAAATCTGTTTGATTTGAATAGTCGAAATGGATAATTTAATTAATTAATTATGAAAATAATTCTTAAATTTCAACCAAACAATCATCGGAAGATAAAACCGCAGACTTACTGAAGCTAGACAACCGTTGAAGTCTAGGAAGCATTGGATAGTCATTTCGTCCTAATATGTCTCGTCAACAGGATGCATACACAACCCCTCCAGGAATTAAAGTACAATTTCCATGCCTCGTGGTAAGCGCTTCACCTCAACCTAATTTTCGATGGTTGTCTAGCCAAAATTAATCTGTATTGTAATCCACAAAATTCAACATTCTCCATAAACCCTCTATTACGGAAAAAATATAATTTGTTATATAATAAATGTTTCACTATGGATCAATAACTAAAGTAACACAATAATCGATAATCGCTAACACCCACCATTTGTTTTTCTTATTGTTTCTGTTGTTTTTTTCTCATTTAAAGATTAATCAAAATCAACCTCCTCATAAAGAAACCAGTATTCTACGACATTTGTTTGTTTTTAATGACCTAATTATTATTGCAAAAGATACCTCTTCAAAACGTACTTCTGGTAGAAGATTAGTTTTCGACAAGTCAAGGAAAAATCAATCAAAAATAAATGATAAGAAATTATCACCAGATCAATGTGATGGTTTTCTTCGTCCACCATTAGATTTATTATATACCGATTGTGATAAAAAGTTTAAAATAATGAATGCTGAATCGAATACACTTAACTGTATGCAACCAAATGTTGGTTGTGTACCTCATAGAGTAGGAGGCGGAAGAGGAAGAAGAAGCAGATCAAAAAATGAACTTTATAGTCGAAAGGCAGCTAATTCTACTTCACATTCCTATACACGTCTTACTGCTTTATATGTTTTTTCATTATATAGATGTAAAATTCGTCCGTTTAAAACTGATGGTAAGTAAAAAATTCATAGATAAGCGTTAATAGTTCAACTTCATCTTTTGAAATTTATAGTATTACTTGAGTTTTATCTCATAATCGAGTAGTGTTATGATGAAACAATTTGGTATGCTTTCAGAAACAAATCAATAGCACGTGCCGAAACCATCAATCAAAACTCCGATTATAATGTTTCTTTGAGATCATGGATCGATCAACGTTAGACCGCCATTGAGGACCTGGAAGCACTAGACGGCTGTTTTGTCAGGGTATGGGACTTTTCAGCAGTACGCACCGACGGTCCTATATGTGAGGTTCAAACTAGGAACCTTCAGTCTCGCGCGCCAACCCTTAGCCTCTCAGGTTTTCAATGGTGGTCGTACACTGATCGATTCGTGATCTCAATAAAAGTTCACAGCCCTATACTCATGCTTTCTCCATTTCACATCTACTATTCCGTCTATAAATTGGCGTACTAGACTTGACCAGTTATATGTTCTGGCCTCCAAAGCCAACCTTGAGCCAATACACGCTACATCCCTATTAGTCCGTCTATACACAAGCCTTTCTCTATCACAGCCTCATATTCAAAAAAACGTTAGCAGCAGAGTTTCCATTGTAACATCACAATCAGCCAGCCACTATCTCGAACATCCATTAGGTTGTATACACCAATTAGCAGGCCGCACAGCACAACAAATAGAAAATCATACTTTAAACATAATCATGCCATAAGTGGCAGAAAACAAAGTAAACAGTGCATAATTACTTGACAATAATTAAAGAATAATAGGTTCAAAGGAAGCTAACATCAAGCAGAATATAGAAATACAATAAAACAGTTATCTACTATGTAATAAAAATATAAATATCAATCTGAATAATAGCTCCAAGTGTTCTAACTTCATTAAACTCGTCTCTTTAGAACACAGTTCATTGATAAAATTGTAGAATCATTGAGTTAACCAGTAATGTATGTCAGTTGATTTAAAGAAAAGTGGTCAGCAAAAAGTATTTAATCTGCATTATGAAAATTTAAGGCATCTCAAGATATTTATTTGCTAATTAACAGTGATATTTTGTTTCAATTTCCTTTTTTGCATTGAAAAAACCACTAATTGAATGAGTGGGATTTCTTATTTTATGAAACATGTTTAATGGTGTTTGTAGACAATTTTCCAAGAAATTTGATTATTTCAAACGAAGTTTATTGACGTTGATCAAAGTAAAATACTAAAATTGGTGTTGAAAATTTTAGCTTCTTTATGATTGTCCATTAATTACTAGTGCGCTTCATACCTGTCAGAATAACTAACCTCATTTTGATCAATATACAATTATCATGAATTTCAATCCCTGTTAGTCCACGAGCTTTTTTTCATCCTTTCAATGTCAAATCTGGAGACAAAGATAGCAAGTGGATTTAACCTTATATTATTGTACTGTATTTGTCCTCCTTATTCAAAAATCCAGTTTTATATATATCCATTATATAACCACAAATAAGTAATTACAACTTGTACAGAACTGAGTTATATTTGATTTCAACTAAATTGAGCATCGAATAAATAGTTAATAGTAAATATATTTTTTTATATCCCAATGAGTAGAAAAGTTGTATGTTTGACTCTTCGTGACCTAATGTACTTCACTTCTTCAGAGTAAATAAATAACCTCAAAGCCAGTAGGCCAGTAGGTCCCGCGGGGTGCGGGATCGTGGATGCGCACTGCTGAGGAGTCCCATACTAGGACGAAACGGCCGTCCAGTGCTTCCAGGTTTCCAACGGTGGTCTAACATCAATTAATTCATGATCTCAACCAACAACAAAAAAATTTAATTAGTACCTCGAAATGTCAGAAATACAATCTTTCTACATATTGGGATATAACAAAAATATATTTATTATGAGTTATATTTGATATAAAATCTGTACACTAAATCCATATTTGATTAACGGCAATTTAGATAAAGTAAAGCTTACGACGACAATTAATAAATAAAATGAGATCTGACAATAAAACTATTATAAAATTACCATAAGCTAAGTACTTAATAATGACACCAAAAACTATGAACAACAATTCTCTGTAAAATTATCCTGAAAGTTTCATCTCTACCAATTATATACCCCAGCCAAACAATTTGTTTCCTTCACCAATGTACAAGATACAAACACATTAGTTTATATATATATATAATGTTTAAAATTTTACAAATGATTTATAGTCTAACCTTGGAATTTTTTTATCTATATATCCACTAAACTAATCTAAAAATAAGTTTAATTCATTTTTCTATTGGTTGTTTTAATCTTCCCATTGATGTTTAGGATTTCAATTGATCAGTCTCTTATTGGCATATTTCCATCCTGTGTGGATTGCCTTGATATTACCTTCAGTCACAATCATTATAAGCAGAGATGGTTGGTGGATAGTAGCGGAATCCAAGACGCCCGTTTCGTCCTATTTAGGACTGATCAGCTAGATGTACCTGCATCTCAGAGTTGATGTTCACTCCAGGACTTGAGCCAAGCACCGTTCGTGGCCAATCGCAGTCTTAAACATCAATGGGAAGATTCAATTAAACAGTGCAAAAATGAGTTTAACTCCACCCCATTGCACAAGCTAGTGGTTATCTAGACTCAGTATCTAAGTAGATAACGCGATTATGTTTGAAGCAAACGGTACCGGGTCTGTGTCTAGGGGTGAACATCAACTCTCGGATGCAGGCACAACTGGCTGACGAGCTCCAGATATGACGAAACGCGCGTCCTCGATCCCACTGCTATCCACTATCTGTCTCTGCTTATAAAGATAAGTTCTCTGTCTAAGTCTACTTATTCAACAATTTAAGATCATTAGTAGAAATTATTGTATTACATAAAACCGTGTGTACTATCCTCATTTTTTCTTACATATCAACATTTCGCCCAATATGTATATATATTTACTCCTAATGACTACAAAATTTGCATTTTTTGATGATTTCATAGTGTATCGTTATGGAATAGAATTATGGAAATTTCCCGGGACAAGAACACCACATCATCAATCTATTCCTAGTAGTTTTAACAATGGTAATTTACAACCGGAACAAATGATTATTATTGCTGCGCTCGATAAAAGTGATTATGAAAATTTATTAAATGATTTATATCAAGCATTATGTGAAACAAATCTTGTTGCATTAGAATTAAAATAATACGCTTTCAGTGAATTGATTTCTCTTACTTATATTGCTATGTGATTATATTTGTATTTTTATTTGTCACTTCTCATTTCTTATAAAAATAAAATAGATAAACTACTTAATTACTTTTACATCGAATTATATATATATATATATATCATGTATGTTTACATTCCTAAACCGTAGATCTTCCTGATGTCTCTCACTCTCCCATCTCTCCCACACACACGTACTCTCTCTCTCTCTTTATATACATATACATAAGGTTTGTGTTAGTACATTAAATGCTACCTTAGGATTTTGAAACGCTATATTTTTTCTCTCAGATGCATCAAATAAAAATAGCAAAATATTCATTTGATCCATCAGAATTTTTACTGTTTCAACACATAATTACTGTTTACTTTTCTTTTAGCAAACTAAATATATTCAGATATATGTTTATATAAATATTTGGTCTTTTTCCCTATAAAAACTATTGATTGTTTTTTTATTTTGTTCTACTTCATTTTACTGTTTTATTCCCTCACTCTATCCTCCCTCTCTCACACATACATACACTCACATTATCTGTTTTTTTTGTAACTAGTGTTGTCATTCGTTAGTTTCGATGTTTATTTTTTCGAAGAAAAACATCCCGTAGACTTTCTTTTTATTCAAGATAAAAATGTCATCGCAGCTATGTTTTTTATAATTGATTATATTCTTTGATTTATTTATGTATTGTAGAGTTGATTCTCCATTTATTTTGGGTTTTTTTTTCTTCATTTTTTGTCATTATTGTTCAAATGCCACAATCACCATACCGATTTTATTTATCCCCGATTTTTCTTTTTACTGTTTTTATCGTTGTTGAAAAGAAGAAAAAAAAAGTAGTTCTAGATTATTTTAGTTAGAATATATATAAAGTGTACTGTTCAATAACTTTCATTGAATATCATATTTCAATATTTATGATAAAATGATATTTCCTCATTCATCTATCAAAAATAAACATGATTATGCGTTTGGTATGATTTATCAGTATAATGATGATGAAAAGGATAACGGTTAGATCATCAACTAGAGATACATTTTTTTAAACTATCATCATTTTTTCATCTATACTTAGATTCTGTTAATATTTCTTTTTTTTCAAATGCTCTTTTACTATATTAGGTATCATTTCAGTTATAAGGATTAATTAAAAGAAGATATGATTATTCAGATTTCAGAATATCTTCTGTGATTGGAATATCTGTCTTTGTATCTCTTTAATTGTATCTGGTTAATTTCTAGTCATCTTGTATACATATTTTGTTTGTCATGTTGATTTATTCATTGAAAGATATTTAACTATTCGGTACTACTGTGGTGATATATATTGATAATAATAATAATTGTTTTATTCAATATTATATTTTTGGTACAATATAGAATTCTCAGCATAAAGTATTTCAACAAGTTTCCGTTTCTTATTTCTTGATCGATCCTTACGACAAATATTGAGTGATCACCAGTCAGATGTTAACAGTTCAGGAGTCGATATCTGAATAATGTTCACTCTTTTCAATGCATATTGCCAGGAATCACGATATCTCTGATTGGGCTCTTTTGTAACTTGTACAGTAGAAGGTCATGAACTTTTCAAAAACGCGCCTGAATAGGTTGTTGAAATATTTGGATGGCAGGAATAGGTAGCCCAGATGTTTGAGCAGGCCGCCAGAAATCTACACATATTGTTAAAACAAACTGATTTTTCGCCTTAATTTGAAGGATTTATGATTTTTTTAATTATCGAACTGGTTGTAACGAAAATCTAGTTCAAATCTCAAAAAAATTTTATGAATTATTTTTATTTTCATTAACGGAAGCATGAATTCAGAAATAAGCCATTTATGCAGGTTACTGATAAGTAATATTAAAAGTAGCACATTCACCAAGCAATGCCCGTTGAAATGCAATGTTAGGACAACGACAAAAAATTATCATGACAAATGATACAAATACAAACAGTAACAATATGGTGTGTGCTACTTATATTGACATAAGTAGTAGATGATGTTAATGTTGAGTCGGCTTTCGGAGAACTTCAACAGAGCCTCCAGAGGCCCAAGATTCCTAGCCAATCAGGGCATGACGGAGCATTCTAGAATTCCAACGTGGCGTGCTACTATTGGTCAGTAGCATAATATGTCGTTAACGGATTGGCCTAAATATGATGTTGGTTTAACAAACGTTAGCATCTATAAATACCCATGTTTTCTGTACAAAAATGAACCTTGGAATAAAGTATTTCTCTCATACTTTGCGTCTTCTCTCTGGTGTTGCTGGTCGCTCTGTAATTCTAGCTTGCGGGTTACCAGAATGGCTTAGGAAACGAATATAGCGTTCAATCGACAAGACTTGTCAGTTAGTCGTGAACAGAATATCTGGCAGCAGAAAGACAAGAGGATCGAACAGTAAAAAATGGAAACAGGATGCAATTTGTATGAAAATGCAAGAACAATGAATTCTGAGTCATTATGAGGCAACTGATGAACAAATTACGTATTTACTATTTGATTGCTAGATTTTATTAACAAGTCCTGTAATTTTGTGTCAAATGCATTCGATTGTCCCCACCGGTGTTCTTATTCACTGCAACAGTACCAGTGGTAGTAAAACAAAATGAGACATAAACAATATAATTCGAGAGAAAAATATACTCTTGGGATAAAAAGTACATTTCAAGTTTAAAACTCATGGTCTAGAAGATAAAAAGTGAATGCATCTTTGCCATTGTAATCGATTCTAAGACATATCACTCTATGTCTCCAACTACCAGTTAGGTTATCACAAGGACCTCAACCAAATAGTTTACACTTGTCAACATGGCTCAATTCAACAATCAAAGGCTTGGTCAACTAAAGTCCTTAGGCTAACAGTTGAAATCTTGGGATTAATTGTCCTATAAAGAAACTTCAGATCATTTCAGATAGTTCTTTGAGCATTCATATTCTTACATAAACCATACAGTAATTCTTCCCTTATAACAATCACTTATGTTAAAATATGAACATTCATCACAATTGGAACTCAGCTTGATAGGAATCGGGAACCAAGTGTGTAAAAGATACCATATGTAAACATAATGTTTCAAATAACCACACCAGTTTGAATAATTTCAACGCTCCGCCCACCAGAACTGTTCGCACAATATATCGGCTACAGTATCATATTCACAAATTTTCTGAATATTTGAGGTAAGAGGATTGGAGATCGTTTACATCACAAACTGATTGATTTTAGCTAGATAGCCATTCAAAATCAATGACCACAAAATAGGTATAAGAGTCATGGGTGTACATTGCTAGGATAAAACAGCTGACCAGTGTCCTCTAGTTTTCACTAGCAGTCTATAATCCAAACTATCTACCAACTAAACATAAATTCTACGACTAAAATGATCGCTTGCTCATTCTCTCAGAGATCTGAAGAAGAAAAAACATGGAATTTTTATATCATGACGTTCATGGCCTTCCTTTTTGAAGATGTCCCCAACTTACATATTTTTATGTAGCTCACATGAACACGTGAAATTTAACTTTGAATTGCAAACAACTTTTCTAGGTAAAAATGCTTACTTGCATTAGTGAAATTATTTCTTTTATGTTAATGTATAATGGTATTTTAAAACATTAATTAATCTTTGGTTACGTAAAACCATTATACAGGAAAGTAGATATTAAGTCTGTTTTATTTTCTTTATTCTTATTCACTTCCCTTCGACTCTTTTGTGTATTGCTTTATACTATATTCAGTAAACAGCTGTTTTCCTAGCAATTTCTACGCATCTGTTGTAACACGAGTTTATCGTGTATTATTCCAAAATATTTACATACGCTTATAACATTTATTGTATTTATCATGATTGTTTCTTTGAATCCTTTTAGCAGTTATCCTCAATTTTGTATAGTCGTTTAATCCTTGTTTGAACGCAACGGTTTCCATATTGTTTGCTCTTGATTCCGTTTTTAGCTTGTTGATAAAATGTTGTCAAGATTAGACACAACTATTAGCTGTCACATTATCATATGTCATAATTATTTCTTATGTTATTATTGCAGGAAGACTTTTTTATTTTAGAGTTACAAGGAACTACACATACCTCACAAGTTGAAGTTTGTAGCTGATTTACGTATATTACTCAATAAAGAATAGTTTTTTTTAACAAATCGTTGTTTTGTGAACTTCAATTTCCTGTGTATCTCAATTGTGTGCATTAGACGCTTCGATAGATTTAACAGTATATCACTGGTTCATGTTGTTTTGATGTTTATCTCGAAGGGGTGAATTTAAATTATATGCAAAGACAAACTACGAAAGATTTAGAAAAGAAATAAAATGTACGAAAACAAAAGTGTAGATTTGATTTTTATTAGCAAATTATTTAAAAGCAAACTGAAGAATAACCAACTGATAAGAGTAGAAAGTTAACGAATGTGTTGATAATGCTACTATTTAGGAATTTACAAAACCTTTAAATATGACAAAAAATCATTGATTACATCCGTTTACAGCTGATAAGATGCCTTCGAATATAGTAAGTTCATGTTATTCCACTAATCTTGTTTTATCTAAACTTATCGAGAGGTCAGAACGCATGAAAATCAATAATAATTTATGTTTAAGCTTTTAGAATAATAAAATCTTATGTAGTTTCATGTCACAGTTAGACAACCATTGGATACGAAGAAGCACTGAACAGCTGTTTATTCCTAGTACATTACTCTATATTTACAAAAGAAGTATGTACATGTAATATGAGGTTACTTAGAATAATGGATACTTTATTCATATAACTTGATCAGCATTAAAGCTAGACAAATAACAGTTACTACTGACAGTTCAGTCAATGTGAATTATATTAATTATGATGGGTTTTTTGAGAAATGGTAATGGGAACTTGCAAGTTGAGGAATACTGTTAACTGAAATATCGTTTAAAAATCCCCATCATATTAAAACACTAATATATGGACGAATAATATCCTTTTCAATAGATTCTCTTCAGATTCTACAATTATATATCCAAATTACTGATCCAAAAAGTGGTCAGGTTTAGAGAAAAATATACAGTTCAAAATTATAACTAAAATATGTCGATTTATATACTTAAATAACATTACTCATCGCAAGATAATGATGGATAATACAGTGGAGTAGATCCCCTTATGTAGTCTTGAAATGAATGGTTATTTAGAATCAGTAAGAAAATTAAACACAAAAATACGACTTCAGTTAATATAATACTTAACTATTAGAAATGTTTGACCACCATTGAAAACCTGGAAGCCCTAAACAATCGTCGTGTGTGCAGGATCGTGCATGCGGACTACCGAGGAGTCCAATACTAGAACGAAACGGCCGTCCAGTGCTTCCACGTTTTCAATGGTGGTCTAACATTGATCCATTATTAATATCAATCTAAACTCAACAATCTCCACAACCCTATACTGATTATTAGAAATGTCCAAATTATATGTGAATATGGAATTAATAATACATAAAAGAAAATGGATTTCTGAATATCCTAAACTTCTTACCCATATGTATAAAAAACTCACATGGGGTTTTCTAAAGAATATGGGTAATGAAAGTAACTCATATATGCTACTTAATACAACTTATTTCAATATATTTCATTAGTAATCGTAAAGGTAGTCATTTTAATTAAGCGGTTTAGGCTTAAAAGGTTAAGTAAACATGAAAAGTTTTTATCGCACTTCGGAAGTTACTAATGAGTAGTGTAAGATAATTGTGAACAATTTCAAATCATATCACTGATAATGCAATTAAAATACAATTATCTCAAGGCTGATGATAGACCTAGTTGATGCTGAACTCTTCTAATTAACATTTTTAGCTGAAATTTGTATGGATTCATTTCAAACAACTTCCTATAATTCTTTATGAATCCTTCATGTAATTTCACAAAAACGTTGAGACCTAAATTATACTCAAAACCAAATACATCGTACATCAGAAAGATAACTAAGATATTTACTCACCGCCTCAAAAATCAGAAGAGCTCCTAATATCCAGAAGATTATTAAATCTTATTTCTCTACCGACTATTTGAAGAACCAAATACCGTAATTCCCTTCGAGTTAAAGGAAATTGTAAAAACCGTGTTCTGTTAGTCATATATCAACCGATATTATGGGTTATATCGGTTAAAAAGTATCAAAACTTGAACCAGATTTTCTTTCATTCAATTTTGGACTGTTCAAATGAGTGAGTTGCAATAGCTTTAATTGCTTATTATGCTGTAATCTGTTTACATAGTTTTAATCATACCTCTAAAAGATCCATTATAGGATTCTCAGCACTAAATCCAACTGATTGGCCCCTTTTTGTCGTTTGACATTTGTAAATGGATCAAACGGATAAAGAACAATTATCGACGTGATCAACATTAGGCT